ACTTGCAAGTATGAGAACATAGGCGAGTAGTGAAGAGAAAGGAGGCACTGTACGAGTACTGGAGGGTTGCTCGGGTAAACATGATCGATACTGAGAACTAACCTCGCTGAACTTCTAGTACTACGAAGCAGAAGAATGTAGATGATGCAGGGTTCGAGCACATTCAGCATTTGGAGCACACACTTTTCCGAGTCACTCTGAAGGTCTATGTCAGTAGGGCAGAGTGGGCTTAAACCGTAGTAGGATATCCATACCAATTCCATTTTCCCACAGGTAATGGAGCCAACAAATGAGGAAGCATGTGAGCAACTTCCAGAAACTTGAATTCATTGTCGTTGTCTTTGCTCCCAGTCCCATCCTGCTTTATTCGCCTCTGGGCTTCTTTCTAATCAAGCAGTGCGTACTACCTAGGATGAAAGGTACAAAAGTGTAGAAATGGCAGCTTTGGCAAAAGCGAAAAGGGTAAAAGAAAAAAAAAAGCCAAATGGGACAGTCTCATACATACTAGACATGATATTACTGCAAAGAGGTGTTGTAATGCTTTGCTTAAGTGTTCATGATCCCGGGGTGATGCCCACAATATAGGGTATCATCGACTCGTTCGTCCAATCAAGATCATTATCTGTTAGAAAATAGAATACCGCTATGATTACAGATATGAGACCCTATCCTGACTGGGATATAGTCTGGACACCCTTTTGGCCTAGTGATATTATTATTTTGATATTATCACATAGGACAGAAATGTCATGAGCTCAACGACCTTCAAGGCAGCACCCTCAAAATATCAAACAAGTCACTACAGCATGATCGCAAGCAGCCTGGTACACGATTAATCAGATTCTTGTAGGGAAGAACATGCGGTGCTGACTGTAGGGCGATGATATCACCTCCCTTCTGACCGCATACTCGGTAAAAGAATGGAGCAGGCCTAATTTGCTTATTCGGACTGTTCAATCCCTTTGTCAGCCCTATGTATCGTATAGAGGGTTCTTGGGAGCATGGCTGGCCGCCGCGGTTCTTAATTTGTCTAGCCAGCCCATCAAAGAGCATGTTTGATGCTAGGTGATTAAGGTAACATTTGGGGGGAGGGTAGCATAATCAGAACTTTTGTCCCATGGAACAGTCATGTAAGGCTGGCGTTATCAATAATGTAGAGACTATTCATCATCTTCCGCAGGATGTAGTGGCACAGAGGAATCTAGCGTCAGTGCTGCAACTTGTTAGCCTGTAACATGCAGAGAAGTCTAATAGGACATTTGAGTAACATAACAGCTAAGCAGCATGGCAAGCAGGGATGGAGTGTGTAGGACTTGGCCAAGTACTTGACCTTGTTAGAGTACAGAAACAATTTCGCATGTGCTGGATATGGAATGCAATCTGGAGCTCAATTGTATATGTACAACAATTAGTTACAATGCAGGGTGTATGTATACAGTGAGAAAAATATGCCAAATGGGGGGCAAAAATGGGTACAACAACCCTATGCTGTTAGGAGGGGTATTGGCAAGAAAGGATAACTGTTCAAGAAAACCTCAAAGCGCAAAGATCAGAGAAGATAATAATTCATAACCATCACGCTCCATTAGAGTTTCGACGGCGTAATGACATTTCTACGCATCGTTCGTGTCGAAACATCCACGTTATTCGTCGGATCAGGACTTGCTGCACTCTCGAATAATTTGCGGCCGACAGTATCGGTCATCGTAAGAACGCGCGATGACACCGTGGCTCCGTCCCGACGGTTTTTGCTATACCAGTGTCAGAAGAAACTCGAACGAAACTGTAGGAGGATGGGGAAGGATAGTTTTCACTCACCCTTCACGTCTTGACTGGGCGATCAACTCGGTGAAATCCCATAGACGGCCGCGGGGCAAGAGTTTGCCTGTTGCTGGGTCCCGCTCTGGGGTCCATTCAGCTGCTAGTTTGATTGTAGGACCTGTGCGCGACTCTTTGCTCTTCGCGACAAGGATGATCCCTTCTTCGGCAAAACGTTGGTAAGAATTCTTGAGCGTTTCTTTGTTCACAGCCTCAAAGTAAGAGAGATCTCCCTGGTGGTACAGGGTTTTGCCAAGCTACAGAGGGTATTAGATATCATCATGGACTAAGCGGTCTTCGAAGAACACTTACGATCTGCGCACTGTCTTGCGCTTTCTTTTGGTCAATCCAAACGTCCTTTGGCCCATCCAGAGGCGGAGTAAGCCCCATGAGGGATACTGCGCCAAGCCAGGCCGCCTCAATGAAAGGCCAAATAAGGAAGCAATAGAAGTCGTAGTTCTCTCTTCCGCGCTGACGCTCAGCGTCACTAAGTTCGACAAAGAGTGGCTTCCCGGAGGAATCTCTGGAGACCGTGATGACTTCGTCCTTCTCTAGTCCTCGAAGTGTTTTCTCGAGGTTAGTTGTCAGACCCTCAGGAGGGAAAATAAATTCACCACGGAACAGCTGCAGGGAGTCAGTACATCTGTGCCCGTTGAAATCACGGTAAGCATACCTGTGATAGGAATGAGACCTGTCTCAGAAGATCTTCAAAAGAAATACGCTGGTGTGCAGGACCACCGCCCTGTTTGACCCTTGTGTACATAGCCGCAGAGACAAGTGCTTCCGTTATGAACAAATGGATTGTCATGTTGCGGTAGAATGAGAGCTGGAAGCGGTCTATAGCATAAAAGGTAGGCTCGGCCAAACCGGTTACCTCGCCCACGAGTTTGGGGCCCAGGACTTCCAGAGCACGATCTACGACGAGTTCAGTGGGAGATCGGTAGAAATGAGCAACACGCCCTCCTTTCGCTCGGACCCGCTCGCAGAGCCATTCGACACGACGTACTAGCTCTCCCTTGCCAACACCACGACCGCGGAGAGTCAATAAAACGGTACCAACAAGAGCAGTTGGCATCATCACGGACACATTGTTGATATCAGAGAGAACTCGGTATCCCAGCGTTCTCAGAATGCGTCCTCTTTCTGTGTAGCTGAGTTTCTGGCCAGACTTTGTGTCGATCTGGTTGGGCAACCGACTCAGTTGCTGCGTGATGAACTCTCGCAGACTCCATGGCTCATGGAACCGAACATCAACCCGCCCTAACTTTAATGACAGAACAGAAGACGAGGAAAGGAGGTCAGCCAAATTTTCTTTTCGCTTCGGCTGGCCAAGGAGTTCGCTAATGTAGGACCTAATCAATACGTCAGAAAACTGTGATAGAAAACCATATGTTCTGGAGTGCCATACTCGGTCTCGATGACCTTGTCATACTGCGTGCTCACGGGACAAATAATGGTGTCTTCCACACGTCCCGATAGCAGGCTGTCCACAATGAAATTCAGGATACCGAATTTCGGTGATAGAAGCTTGCCTGTCCGTGATCGTCCCCCCTCAATGAAGCATTCGAAATTAAATCCTTTCTGCAAAAGTGTATCGATGTATGCCTGGACAACGGTATGATACAGTGGGTCGTTCCCGAAGCTTCTCCTGATCCACATAGCGCCTGAAATAGTTAGCTGCGATGGTACGAAATTGGCGCGATGATGGACTGTACCTGCGTGTTGTAGAAAAGGGCCGAGTAAAGGAATGTTGAGATTGTCACCGGCCACGACGATCGGCAAGCCAATTCCCAGACGATAGCAAATAAGCTGCAGTGACACGTAGTCTACATGAGACTTGTGGCAGGGCAAAAAGACGATAGATTGCTTCTTCTTTGCTGCTTCTTGGGCAACCGATCGCAAGCGCAGAACTTCCTCGCTGGATACGTGGATTCCTGGAAGAAATGGTCAACAATCTGCGGTCGTCACACAGATCACAACTTTGGAGGCATCCTCACCCTGATGATAGGCTCGTGTAAGAAGTTGGGTGCAAAGATAATATGCCCCTCGAATGAATGTCTTACTCTCCATCTTGCAGATCATATTATCCATCATCGTATCAACAACCTCCTTCAAATTGCTCGCAATCTCAGCCCGGCGCTGCTTTTTCCTTTTCGATACGGGGCCCTGGCCTATCTGTAAGATCCCTTCCTTTTCCTCTACCGCAAGTCGTATCTCTGCTAACTCCTTGACCTTCGCTTGTAGGATTGGACTGGCAAGGATGCTCGACTTGATTCGTTCCGAGAACCCCGGGTAAAATATAGGCTGTCCGATAACATCGTTGTATGCGCGCCATCCTGTTCCCGACATGTAGAGGCTAACTTCTCGCAAGAAGTCAAAAGGATTCTCACGAAAGCGCGCCATATGAGAAACGAGGTTGCGCTCCGTAATTGGCCCATCCTGAGGTCCCCCAGTATATCCGCTTGGATGAATTGTGACCTTATCACCAACAATCTCCAGGTCGGGGGCCTCCATGGGCGCCTTTTCCACCGGCATCGTGAATCGGAGATAAAGGCGATTGTTTGCGGGGAAAGGGAAGTAAAGGAGCGTTATCGAAGAAGCGGTCCAAATCGCTTCTAATCGGGAACGAGGGGACACGGGAGGTCAGATAAGTCGTTGTCCGTCAGATGATTGGTAAAAAGCATCCAGAGCCATGACCAAGCCTGGATAGTTATACCCCTGCCAGCTCTCCGTCGTCCCAACAAAACCCGCAGATCTTCTGCTGCACTCTCAGGCTCTTGGGTTACTTTCCCCAGAATACCTCGGATATTAGTCATGTGATAAATGTCATACCATTATTACCTTCCGGTAAGGTACGGAGTACGCTGTACGCTGTACGGGTCTGGAATAGACAGCACTAAGCCCGATAAGGTAAGCGACAGGGAAAAAAGAGCTAAAAGGCTCCAAAGGATGAGGTCAACGCAGCAGCCACCAGCACGACCATCGAACACAGCAGGCATTCAAGCAATCAGAGAGCATGACTGTGCTTGTCAATGGCCTCATCCTATTCTGGAAGCTTCATTATATGAACGTCAGGCTGTTTAGTGGTGCCTGAACCGTCGTTGCTGCTCCACAGCGGGATTCACCCTACTGCACAATCCTGGAGTCCTTGATCCACTGACCATCATAAATACGGCGCAGCCATGTCGCGTTGGCTGAGAGCTTTTTCGAGTATGACTCCCTTGTTTCTGTGACCGGAGAAACGTGGTGCACTTTCTGACTTTTGCGTGTCTTTGATAGCTACAACGTCGTTGTTCAATTCCACAATGGCTTCTCGCCAGCACTCGTTCGAGGTGTTCCGCGATGTAGCCCCCCTCCGAAAGATGCGCCGACAACTACTGCTGTCGAACAGGACTGTAGGCCTTGTTCCCACAATGGGAGCTCTGCACGAAGGTCATCTCTCGTTGATGCGACAGGCAGCGGCAGAGAACACCGATGTCTTTGTCAGTATCTACGTTAACCCAACTCAATTCGGAGTCAATGAAGATCTAGCGAGCTACCCTCGTACATGGGACAGTGATGTGGCAAAACTTGAACAATTGAACGAAGAATTGACTAGTCAAGGAGAGAAGTATGGTCGTGTCACGGCTATCCTAGCGCCTACGTCCAAGGTCATGTACCCTACATTGCCGCCATCATCCGAGGTAGACGGTGACGGTTCATTCGTCACAATCACGCCCATTTCAAAGAAGCTCGAAGGTGCTTCCCGTCCCGTCTTCTTTCGCGGAGTTGCCACGGTTTGCATGAAGCTCTTCAATATTGTCTGCGCCGATCGCGCATACTTTGGGCAGAAAGACGTTCAACAAACAGTCGTTATCAAGCGGATGGTGAAGGACTTCCATATCCCTACGGAGATCAAGATTGGCGCTACAGTCCGCGAACAGGATGGACTAGCAATGAGTTCGAGGAATGTTTACCTGGGGTCGAGAAGACGTACCGTTGGTCTTGTTCTCTTCAACGCCTTGAAAGCAGCTGAAGACGCATACCTCTCTGGCAAAACCAACCGAAACGAGATTTTGGATGCCGCCAATCGGATGACACAGAAGGTACTCGGCGAGCAGCAGGCATTGAAGCCCTCAGAAAGGGCGCTTTACGAGGTTGATTATATCTCGCTCGCGGATCCTGACACTTTGGATGAATTGGAGGTTGTTGATCCCTCGAGAGGTGCCATCTTGAGTGGTGCAATCAAAATGGCGCCTCTAGAGGTGTCAAATCCCGGTGAAGATTGTGGTCTTGGTGATGGGAAGGTACCTGTACGGCTGATTGACAATCTGATCTTGACACCCCGGGTTTGACCGTTCACCAACATCCATCAGCTCATACGTTCAGCCCAACCATAGTGGATGCCCTTTCTCCATCTCTTGTCGGGGTTTGGAGTAATGTTGTATATGCCCCGGCGGCAGGCCTTGTATTAAGCAAAAACTTAGCACATATTCAGCCAAAGAAACATTTGCATCTGAAGCTCAAAAGGCTATTCCCATTGATCGCATATCCAGCCAAGCTAGACTACTTGGGGATATCGCCCTTAATTACATGCGCACAATCACAAATCGGAAACTCTAGCCCATTATTTTCCGAAATTAGACGCCGAGTATTGCAATCTACCTGCTATTATATAATTTATGTACAAGTAGACAGCAACGTGAGCATCATCGAACAAAATGTCCTGCCAAATCAGGAAACTAGGGCAGCCTGTCAGGGCTCGGAAGTAAATCGGCCCGAGAAAATTTCCTTGTGCAGTAAAGTCTTTTCCCGCATATCCAAAGCAAGCCGACAATGACTGATAACAAACGGCTGTGCATTCCAGCCCAACAAACCTCCTCATGGCGGACGACGGCCTGCTCCTGAACTTCTCCCTCGGTGATACCAACATCATCCAACCAGAAACGAAGCTCAAGGGCGGAACATGGCGGGACCGGCTCAGCGCAAAAAAAATCGCCAAGCACCATGCCAAAGGCCCCAGGCAAGCCGGCGACGAAGACAGTGCACCCCGAGCACCGCGAAACCCCAATAGAATCGAAGTCCCGTCGTCGCGGCCGACCAAGAGACAGAGGACAGATGGAGGCGATAGCGGAAAGCAACAGTCGCACGCACATCCGCGTTCCAACCAACCCCGCCAATTCATTTCATCGTTGTTCACGAAAAATCCGGAACCGCAGAAAGTCGAAGAAGTGAAGGAAGAAGGGCCCACCGAGGACGCCAAACCAACGAACGCGCCGCTCATCGATGGACTAGACACATTTACGAATCTGGGCCTGTCGCCGAATCTGGCCGCACATCTTCTTACGAAACTGGAGCTGAAAGCTCCAACCGCTATTCAGAAAGCGTCTATCTCACAGCTTCTGAAGGAAGAGGGCGATGCTTTTATCCAAGCGGAGACTGGATCTGGAAAGACGCTGGCGTATCTTCTTCCCTTGGTGCAGAGGATCATGGCTCTCTCGAAGCCCGGCGCGCAGACGGACGCAAAGGGCCAGCCTATCGTACACCGCGACAGCGGCTTATTTGCCATCGTTTTGGCCCCTACTCGTGAGCTGTGCAAGCAGATCTCTGTTGTGCTGGAGAATTTGCTGCGCTGTGCGCATTGGATTGTGGCGGGTACTGTCATTGGTGGTGAGAAGAAGAAGTCTGAGAAGGCCAGACTACGGAAAGGGCTGAATATCCTTGTGGCTACGCCTGGTCGACTGGCGGATCATCTGGATAATACGCAAGCGCTGGATGTAAGCAATGTGCGGTGGTTAGTACTTGACGAAGGTGACCGATTGATGGAGCTGGGCTTTGAGGAGGAGATTCAGGGGATAGTGAAGAAACTCGATGCGCGACAGCGTCCCAGTCGCATACCCGGCGTTCCTACACGGAGAACTACAATTCTTTGTTCTGCTACGCTGAAAATGAGCGTACAGAAGCTTGGTGAAATCAGTTTGAAAGACGCAGTCCACATCAAAGCGGACCCAGAGGACGAGGATGAGAAAACCAGGAGGAGCAAAGAGGAAGAATCCGCCTATCGGGTGCCAGCCCAGCTCAAACAATCATACGCCGTAGTTGCGGCAAAGCTGCGCCTGGTCACGCTCACTGCTTTCTTCAAACGCACATTTATGAGGAAGGGATCAGTCATGAAGGCTATCGTTTTTGTCTCCTGTGCTGACTCAGTCGACTTCCACTTTGAAGTATTTACACGGAAACAAGCGAAGGAGGATGGCGATGAGCCTAGTGATACAGAGAAAACAGAAGATAATCCTCCATTATCCCCCCATGGTACCATAGCACCCGCCACTGCTTTTTCGAATCCGTCAAATCCGGTGACATTGTTCCGGCTCCACGGCTCCCTACCTCAAAACATCCGAACTTCTACTCTTGGAGCGTTTGCGAAGAACAAGGAAGCATCTGTCCTGATCTGTACTGACGTGGCCTCTCGTGGTTTGGATCTGCCAAATGTCGATCTGGTTGTGGAGTACGATCCAGCATTCAGCGCAGAAGACCACTTGCACCGAATTGGACGTACAGCTCGTGTAGGCCGCGACGGTCGGGCATTGATCTTCCTTCAGCCTGGATGCGAGGAGAATTATGTCGAAGTTCTCAAAAGGGGTTATCGCGACGGCGGAAAGGCGCTTACTCGCACAGATGCCAACGATATTCTCAAGCGCGGATTTGGCGGCAATGTAGAAAGCGAAAACAAAGACTGGGAGACGAAAGCGACGGATTGGCAGTGCGAGGTGGAACGGTGGGCGCTGGAGAACCCAAAATACCTCGAGATGGCTCGGAGAGCCTTCCAATCGCACATCCGTGCGTACGCCACACACATCGCAGCTGAACGGAGCATGTTCAACATCAAAGAGCTCCACCTGGGACATCTCGCCAAGGCATTTGCGTTGCGTGACCGTCCGAGCAAAATCAATGTACCCGGTTTACGGCAAGGAAAAGAGGAGACGAAGAAGGACTTCAAGGCCGAGAGAAACTCGGCCGCAGGAAAGAAGAGGAAGGCTGGTGGTGCAGACCTTGCTGACGATATACCGTCTGCCAACAATACGGCAACGGCAGCCCAGAAGATGAGGGCTAAGATGAAAGAACACATGGCTGGTGCAAACGAGTTCAACCTTGCCTAGTCTGTGCTTCGGCTGTATATAGAAGAGCGGTGACTCATTTCAGTAGATATCCCATAATGAAATCTTACCATCTTTTGACCCAGCAGCCAACCAGTGGGTAGTTTGCACCTTTTTGTTTCTCTGACGCTGCACAGCTGCGAAGGTATAGGCATTGTCCCTTCGTGTTGTAACCTGTTGATGGCTGTCGTGTGAATCGTTTTTGACTCCTTCGCCGCTTGAGTCCTTCGTAGGCGAATCATTTGATTGTGCAACAGTAGGGACCTCCGCGAACCCAATCGTGTAACATCCCTCTTTATGCCATTTCAACACTGCAAGTTCCTTCATGGTCTTGCACGAGTACACCCGAATCCTACTATCCCACCCCGCCGTCGCAAAGATCTTCCCATCAGATCGGATGCGGATACCCTGCTGGCCCGCATGTTTTGTATTAACCGTCTTCAAGACTGCATCCTCCGGCCGGTTTGCCGATGGGTGACTGCCCTCACCCAAGCGGGGAATAGGATGCTTCACCAGCAACGCATCAGCAGACGAGGAGAGGAAATAATCCTCCTGGGGGAAGACATCGATAGACAAGACCGGCTGACTATGAGGTCGACAGGCATAGAGCTTCTCCCACTTCCAGGAAGCGGTAGTTCCCTGTAAGATATCTTGTTCTTTAACAAGACCTCGGCGGGCAAAAAGCACGACGTGCCCATCTTCGTACGCAGATGCAACATACAGGTCCCCAGGCGGTCCCGTGAACAAATGAGCAGCCATGACCATTCCGGTATCCGTAGTCATATCCGCTGGAATGGTACACACTCGCCTCTCGAGCGGAAGGTGGAAGAGATCGATAGCGCCTGAGTTCAGGGCGTTAGGAACCGCTATGAGCGCAGGCGACCGGGGCGCGTCCTGCGGCGTCGCATCTGCGGATTCTTCCGCCACGTTGGCGCCTTCACTGCTATCCGCACACGCGCTCTCTCTTAGAAAGAGCAGCGAGAACGCACAAAAGTTCAGCGCGTTCACAGGAAGAGAATGCATGAGCCAGGGCTGGCTGGCGGAGTTTGCCTGAGGTCCGTCGCCGATATCGACGGGCAGAGTTTTCTGGAGGACTTCTTCGTCCTGGCGGCGGAATCTCCACACTCGCAGTTTATGATCTCTTCCATGTCTGAGCCATCTTGTTAGCTATTGTGTGATACTGGAAGTAAGCGCAAACATACGTATATACGTCTGTTTCTGCTCTTGCAGCGGAACTAAACCCCTTGACTTCAAGAATTGCCCCTTCGTGCGCTTTCCATGCGGCCACTGGACGTTTCATCACCAGGTCCCAGACAACTATCCACCCATCGGCGTCGGCTGAGATTAGCCGCAAATTTTGGTTGAACAGATGCAGCGCATGGATTGGGGCTGCATGTCCACGAAGGATATAGATAGGTGTTGCTGGAGGGCGGGCCGCCTGGTTAGCGAACGCGCTGGGTTCGCTCATTTGTTCGTTGGAATGCACAGAAGTATCAAGTCAAATGACTTCGGTCCAAGATCTTCGTAAATTTGATGCTCTCTATGTACTTAATGCTGGCGTTGATGGAGAAAGAAACAGAGACGCGAAGTTCTACGGAATGAGCAAGTCTTGGCACTCTCTCATCATCCACACAACGCTCAGAATGGGGAAGATTGCAGTCGCAGGCATTCCGAATGATTAGGAGAATCAGAGAAGAAGATTAGCTGAATACACTCTGAATTGTAAGGCGTTCATTATCAGATGCCCACATCAATAAAGAAGAGATAGGAAATTATTTTGAAATCTCGCCTATCCAGGACATATACTGAGAACCATGAAGCCGCAAATATACACCTCCAGAACGCTAGTGTACAATGAGCAAAATATATACATCATGACATATAACATCTCGATAATTAATTGTACCAGCATGGAGAAAAGCACATCAAAGTCCGAAATCGTGGAGAAACCCTTGTGGTATCAACGTTAGAAACGCCCAGTGTCTGAATCGAGATAAACCTCCAGAACAAAAAGCCAAAACTCCGTCCGGTCAATCGACGTATCTAAATCAGAACAAATCGTACGAGAAATCATGTATAGGGTGATGAGGCGCAACATAGTATTCCTGGTAAGGATGATTTTCCATTGAGAAATCGGCATAAGCCATGATCGGATTGATGGCACCGGGTGGACATCGTAAGTCAGCCGTATCGGACGCATGCAAAGGGTTGTGACCATCGAATATTGAGATGGCCTCGGTGGAAACAGATGGAACTTCTTGTTGATGAGGGATTTGCCAACCCCAGGTTTGCTGGAGGTCATTCTGGATATGATCAGCGCGCCACCCAGTCTCCTTGACGATCCTGTCGAGGATCTTTATCACTTCTTCCTGAGCCTCCTTCATCACCAAACATTCCGCTGCTACAGCTAGAAATTGAATGGATAAGCCAGCAAGGCCACTGCTCAAAGTCAGTCAAGAGTAGTTCTCAACCACCCGGGATGAGTCCATACCGATCCTTGACGTGCGCTACAATGCCACAGATATCATGCGCATGAAGCTGCTGCATGTGCTCCATTTCGGGGCTGAATTCAGATTGCGAGAGACGAAGTCTGGCGAGCATCAACCGTGATACATGGTAAAATAACCGAGCGACTATAGCGGATCGCTTGATCAACCTTTTGAAAAACGTGTTAGTGAATATGTTCTATACAGCAATAAACCCCAGTAAACCTACCAGATCTCAGGGAATTGAGATTTGGACCTGGTTTGCCACGGATGAAGATAGCCGACAGGCATCATGGATCGTGGTGCAGCTTTCGCCCACTGATCACACCAATCGTTGTATGTATTCCACTCCTCCTGGAAGTTATTTGGCGAACTATTCGAGGCCTGAGAATGAGATACAGAGGACCGGAAATTTGCGACTTTGGCACAGATATAAACCATACGATGGGTCCACATTTCTTCGTTGCCCGCGATGCTGGGCTCCGCTGGGTCCATAGTCATCTTTACACCCCAGGTATCAGGATCCCAGGCCAAGGCCCAATTGTAGCGCATACAAATGAGCAGCTCCATGCCAACATTGAGCCAGAAGCAGGCACCGCCCAAGCCTGGGGATCTTGCATCCCAGTGACATTCCTTAATGAGTGCTCTTGCCCCTGCAATATGATTCATGTCTTGAATCGAGCGGGAGCTCATTAATTCATACACATTCAGAACGACAGCGGTTGTAGCACACAGTGCAGAGTCACGATCCGGATCTTGCAAGGAGTGGAGTAGGTCTCGGGAAGCCATGTCATGAAAGTACGTCGCCTTCTCTTCGTCGTATGCAGGATTGACCAAATACAGATGTCGAGCGCCGCATGCCATGAACGCTTTCAGAAGCATAGGCTCATCCAATGCGTGAAATGGCAGTATTTCAGTAAACTGGTCAAGTCAGAAGCAAGAAAGAGATGTTTTACAAATATAGGCCTTACATGTTTGACTGCACCCATAGAATCCATCCATAGCCCCACCTCTTCGACGAAGACCCGCAACAACATGATGTCTTCGGGGTCGTTGAGATATACACGGTCATTCGAGTCCTTTGCTCCAGCCTTCGCTGACTTGAATGGGGCGTATGAAGCACTCTGATCAGGAAAGACAGAATAATCCGCCGAGAGAGCATGACCGTTGAAGTTACCGCTTTGGTCAGACAGCGAAACCTGAGTGATTCCTAAAAGCGAAGACATGCTGTCCATCGAAGACAGAGGTATAGGAGGGCTTATCAGAGAGGGATACTCTGACGGCAAAGCCAATTCCAAAGGAGGCTCCATTCCCGGAGGGGGATATCTCTCGGCTCCACCCACATACTCCGACGCGATGACTCTGGACTCATCCCGGAAAGTGACAGATGCACCAGGAGGACGCGGGATACAGTGTGGAGGCGCCACGGTCTGTGTATCGATAAAATTCAAGCGAACGCCACGTCTGCATATTCTCCCGGATTTGCGACAATTTTGACACCGGTGCGAAGTCTCGTCGCATTTCAGATGGCGTTCGCGACAGGTCAGACAGCCCGTACGGACACGCTTTGGTTTGCCGCTGACAATTCTTTTCCGTCTTTTGCTCAATACACGTGGTGTGCTCGCCGGTGAATTCGTCGATGTTGGCACCTCACTCTCCTCGAAAAGGCTGGTATCTGGCGCATCGTCTTGGGGCGCTTGACCGGACAGTAGTTCGGGGTCAGCCGTGTTTGAGTCAATGTTATCACTGTCCGCATTCCCCTCCCGAGAGCGTGGATCAATCGAAAAGTTCCGCTTAGACTGTGGAAAGGCAGTGTTGCCGACAGAAGCCATGTCAAGTCGTGCTAAGTCGTTCGAGCACTTCCTTCACTGACCAGGAACCGCCCCCGAGCACGCGAGAACGAGAATAAGAGACCTTATATATCACCTCCATAGGATCCATACCTGGACCATTGTGTTGTAGCCACTGGGCTGGAGTCTCCAACGTCGTGCAGTCGCGTAGTCTAATGCCGCAAAACTGTTAGCTTGTGATAATCACCATCAGAATCATGGCAGTCTAATCCTCCGGGATCTTGTCTTACAGAATACGGAGCGAAAAAATCACTGAGCAATTTGTGTAGAGCGAATCAGTGCATAGTGCTGCTCCTGGACGAAGGTGACGAAGCGAAGATTTGCGGGGAATGTGAGATTTGGTGACTAAACCAGGGGGGCCACTTGCTTTACCCCAAGTTGATCCCGAAGGCTTATCTGATTCGGACCACCACGAACTACGAAGGTTCTAAGCTACAGACCGGAATGAGTCTATTATTGAGATGCGATCATTTACCATAGTTAATTGCCATTGATACTTTACGGGTTGAACACTTTATGCTCGAATCCAATTCATTTACCATTTTATATGAGCGCGTCAGGCACATATTTCTTCCCCCATTGCGTCGGGACTTCCTGGAAAAGCCATATTTTGTATATAAAGATTAAGAGAATACTTACAAGCCTTTGAGAAAGACCAAGCCAAGCTTTAACAGGCTCGCCGCTGACTAGGACGAGGCCTTGCTCCCTAACCTAGGCAAGCGAATACGAATGTGCATCATGAACATGATCGCTCCCCAGATGGCTGCGGAAAAGAAGGTCACGCGGAGAGCTGCAGCATATGCCTCAACCACTGGGTTACAATTAGTAGGGGTGTCTCACATGTGGTGTTGAAAACACTAACCTTGCTGCTGATGCACTGGATCCAGGTTAGCAATAGCTTGAACCGATTTGCGGACGAGAAGAATGACGCTTTCTTTGTCGGGACCGGTCACCAGTTCGTCGAGCTGATACACAAGTGTATTCTGGAATATCCAGCTGCTCGTCGCGACACCCATAACTGATCCCAGGTTCCTGAAAAGGCCAAGAGTCGTCGTAGCCACAGCCTGCTCTTCCTGTGCGCTTGTAGCCAGTACGGATACCATGAGTGTGGGAAAGGAGAAGCCCTGGCCGAGACTGGACAGAGAGACACAGATCATTGCGACTAAATCAGGAGTGTCTTTACCAATCAAAGCCGCAGCACAGCCTCCGATCAAGAGGAAGAGGCCGCCAATGAGCATTGTCGGCTTGAGACGCTTGGTCCAAGTGATCAAGAAACCGGTCGACACGCTAGAAACTGTGACAGCGAGAGTAGCAGCGACCAATTTAAGACCAGAATCGGTAGGACTTGCCAATTTGACCGCCTGGAAATACAGCGGAGCATTGAAAATCATGGTGTTGATCGAGATTGATCCGAAGAAATTTCCAAAAATGATGCTTGCACGAGGTTGCTTTGACAGGAGTGATATTGGCATCACAGCCCGTTCAACGTTCCGTTCATATCGCACAAAGATCACCGCTAGAACAATTGATAAGGCTAGCGACGAGATAACGAGGGGGTGAGTCCATGCAAACACATTACCACCTAGGTTGAGACCCATGATCAAAGCTGTCACTGTAACCACAAGTATGAAGGACCCTGTCAAGTCGATGCTTCTGATCAATTGAGACACGCTCATCCGATCCGCTTTTGCTCTCTTCAGCCCTAGGTCGGCTGGCGTTGTCCAAGCTGCGACGATGAAGTAAACGAAGATGAACGGCAGCTGCACGAGGAACGCACCTCTCCATCCGACATGATCACACAGGAAGCCACCAAAAGCAAGCCCAAGGCAGCCCCCAATTCCGAGGACGAGATTGATATAGGACTGATACAACCCTCGATACTCGATACGTACAAGGTCGCTAGACAAGATCATCCCCATAGAGAAAACACCACCAGCTCCGAGCCCACAGACAGCACGGGCAGCGATAAAACTCCCGATACTTTGCGCGGCTGCACACCATGCTGTGGTCACGAAGAAAATAGCAATCGCAAAGAGATAAACCGGTTTTCGGCCGAACGTGTCCGAGATGCGCCCAAAAAGTGGAAGGAAGGCAGTCGATGTCAAAAGAAAAGCAGTCGAGAGCCATGATGC